CACTCTGAGCCACACAATATCCTGTGTAGGGCCCCAAGTCTCCAGGACACCACCTTGGTTTGGAGCGGGGTGGGGCTATGCGTTGGGCTGGGTTCGAGAAGGCTACATCAGCTGGATTCACACGCAAGGGTGTGGCTGGACCAAGCTCACCCAGCACCCCAGATCGCTCCCCACACCAGCCCCGGAGATGTCAGTATTTTCCACTCTTCCAGGAGCTCGTCTCATGAGAACTTCAGCTGGGACACTGGAGTGACTCTGGTTTGGGTGTCCCACCTGAGACATGGTGTTTAGTCAGGACTGTCAGAGACCCACAACCCCATCCTAGGATCCTAGAACGGGACCGGACCTTGAGAGGTCATCCAGCCTAGCCTCCTGTCCTCACGGCAGGACCAAGCACCATCTAGACCATCCGACAGGTGTCCGTCCAACCTGCTCTTAAATATCTCCAGAGATGGAGAGTCCACAATCCCCCTGGGCAATTTATTCCAGTGTTTAACCACTGTGTTTAATGTCCAATGTCCAGTGTTTAACGTCCAGCCTCAACCTCCCTTGCTGCAGTTTAAGCCCATTATTTCTTGTCCTCCCCTCAGAGTCCAAGGAGAACAATTTTTCTCCCTCCTCCTTGTGACACCCTTTCAGATACCTGAAAACCGCTATCCTGTCCCTTCTCAGTCTTCTCCTTTCCAGACGAACAAAACCCAGTTCTTTCAGACTTACCACATCGGTCCCATTTTCTTGCTGCTGAGCGTGTTTATTTGTGTGACAAGTAACGGAGGGGAGACTGTGTTCATCTGAATCTGCATAAGCAACGAGGAGTCCCGTGGCACCTTCTAGACTCACAGATGTATTGGAGCGTGAGCTTTCGTGGGCAAAGACCCACTTCATCAGATGCATGGAGTGGAAATGGATTTCTGTGGCTGTCCGTGTGCTGAGCGGGTTTGGAGGACCGTGTGCTGAGCGGGTTTGGAGGACCGTGTGCTGAGCGGGTTTGGAGGACCGTGTGCTGAGCGGGTTTGGAGGACCGTGTGCTGAGCGGGTTTGGAGGACCGTGTGCTCCGGCCAGCAGCCTGCTACATACGGCAGAGAGCTTCTTAAGGAGGCTTTGCGATCTCATCATTTTCACACCCATCAGGCCTTAACCAGAGGGCTATTCAGGAAGGTGAGGGCTTTAAAAAGTCTACTCCTGAGCAAACAGAGGAGCTAGCAAACAGGAGCAGCGAAGCAGAGAGTTGGGCGAGGGACTTTATAGGGGGCAAGTTGGACCTTTAGTCTGACCCAATATGGCCGTTTGTGTCTTATGGTCTTCCAGGGTTGTCTTTATGGGCTTTATGTCTTTATGGCTTGGTCTAGACTATAACCTTTTGTTGGAAAAAGCGACGCCAATTGCTCTCCACAATTGGAGCCGCTTTTTCTGATTCCTTTTCTGGAAGAGACTTTCCCACCATTTGGGCCAAATTACGGAAAAGACTCCTCTTTTGGAGGAGCCCTTATTCGTCCTAGAACGAGGTAGACAGGGATCCCCGAAAGAGCGTCTCTCCTCTTCTGCAAAAAAAAGCAGAAGGGAAAATGCATTTCCTGGACGTGGCGGGGGTTTTTCCGGGCTACATCTGGGATCCCAGAAAACCCCACAGTTTAGACATAACCTATATTTGCCCCTTTTTAGTCTTCTGGCCTAAAGGGTGTTCTGTTGGCAGGGCGGTGGGTCGGGGGCCCTCAGTGGCAAACCAGAGTCACAAGCGCTGAGCAGAAGTGTTTTATCCTTTTCACATATGAGTTTCTTTTTGGTTTTATCAGACCCCGTGTGAACTGCTCCAGCCCTGGGGTGAATTCCCCCCCAGGATCCTAACCAACTCCTGGTTACAGCTCCTTACTAGCGGGGGCTCCGAGGTTGGCAGCGTTCAAGAAGCTACAAATTTGCTGTTTGGCAACTCGGTTTTTATTCATTGCTGGCTCTGAAGCAGCGAGCGATAGGCAGCTGGTTGCTCAGCGGGGCAGGGCAGAAGGAGACCCTCAGAGCAGTTACTCGATTGGAAATCACTTGCGGATCCTTTGCTAGATTCCCTTCCTTTGAACTAGTTCCCAAGGCTCTGTTCAGACCGGGCCGGGACTGCCTTGGGGGGATGAAGATGGAGAAGATGGGATGGTGTAGACGGAGCTTGGTCCTGCCTTGAGGGCGGGGGGCTGGACTCAATGACCTCTTGAGGTACCTTCCAGTCCTATGATTCTATGATATGATTCTAAGAGGCCCAGTGAGCACAGGGCAGACAGAAGGTTTCATACAACTCAGCAAGTCAGGAAATGACGAGGATCTCCCCTAAACAACCACTCAACGGGCTGACATGGGGGGAGAGCTACAAACCACCGGGCCTCCTTAAGGTTTGGCTCGACTGAGGTTCTCACCTCTCCCGGACTGGATGCCACAAATGACATCCAGTCCATCCAGTGAGAAGACTTGGCAGCCCGGGCCCATGTCTGACCCTGGGGAAAAGTCTGAGATGGGATTGCCAGGGAATCGAACAGCAATGGGATTGAAACTGGCTCCTAACTCCCCTAGGCTCCCGGGCATTGTGCTCCTCGGTTGGGCACTGAAGTGTGGGGGGTTCAGCTTGGGGCGGGGGGGTAGCCTCAGCTGCTTTGCAAAGCAGTCCATGTATCTGGGCCAAACTTAAGGACAGAAGGGTACGTCTACACTAGCCCTCTACTTTGAACTAGGGAGGCGAATGAGGGTGACTGAAATTGCAAATGAAGAGCAGGATTTAAATATCCCGTGCTTCATTCGCATGTTCCCAGCTGGTCGCCATTTTGGAAATAGACTAGCCCGGAAGAACGGCCCGTGTCTACACATGGCAGAGAAGGGCGATTCCAAAATAAACCCCTTACTTCGCATGGAATGAGGTTTAACTGGTCATTCAAAGTAAGGGGTTTATTTCGGAATCGCCCTTCTCTGCCCTAGTTCTTCCGGGATAGTCAATTTCCAAAATGGCGACCGCCTGGGAACATGCGACTGAAGCATGGGATATTTAAATCCCGCACTTCGTTTTCCATTTCGGTCGCCCTCATTAGCCTCTCTAGTTGGAGCTAGGGGGCTAGTGTAGACGTACCGAAAGAGACAGAGCTCCGGGTCTAGGTTGCGATTCCTAGTTGGATTAAGGGTTGCAGCCTCCTCATCATTTCCTGAATCCAAGGGATGAAGGTGGAGACTTTGACGTACACTCTGGGGGGCTTCCCAGAGGGAGATCCCCAGGAGACGATGCCCTGGGCTACTTCATCGCACACCAAGGGCCCCCCGGAGTCGCCCTGCAACACAGAACAAGCCACTGATGGAGAATGGATCAGCCAGTCGTGTTCTTCAAGCACTGAGGAGCACTTCAGGGATGCCACCCCCTGTCCCTGCTGTCTTCACATGGATCCCCCACATCCTAGTCTGTCTCAATAGCATCCCAACCCTTCATGCAACCATACAATCCTAGAGTTGGCAGAGACCTCAGGAGGCCATCGAGGGGGAAGGACCCAACAACTACTCCAGGCAGGGCTTGGTCAAGCAGGGACTTCAACACCTCTAGGGATGGAGATTCCACCCCCACCTAGGAAACCCAGATCCCTCAGCTTCTCCTCGTAGGTCATATGCGCCAGCCCCCAGCTGGTCTCTCCCTCCCTGGCAAGAAGAAAGCTATTGTCAATTCATTTGTACAGCACCTAGCGCAGTGGAAACTGATCCCGGATTTTCCTCTTGGACCCAATGGCAGCAGAAAGACCCTCACTAGTAATAACAGTGTATCAAGGTGGCGGGTAAGTTTTACCTTAAAAGAGGCCTGGGGCTTCTTTGGGTCCCCCACACACATCATGGTGGTGGAGTTGTATTTGTGATTTTTCACTTCAGGAATACGCTGACACTCCGAATCATCCTGCACCGTCAAATTCACCTCCTGGAGCATCTCTGAGCCCCCTTTTCTATTTGCTCGTGTCCGGCCCCAGCCAGCGACGCTGCACACGGTCCCGGGCTCCACTTGCTGGTTGGCAGGGGGCAAGCGGAGGAGTCCGACTTCGCTGTTGAGGTGTGCGGGTTTCTGCAGCTATGGAAAAGCAAGAGCAAAAGCACCAGGATCAATATGAAGCTTGAAGGTAATAGGAGAGACAAAATCCAAGGAGAGACAAGTTACAGCTAATGCACGGCCATGCAGCAGTCCGAGATCAGAGGGGATGGGGCTATGGCTACCTGCAGCAGTGTGAGGTCACTGGGGGCGGGGGATGGGATGGGGGTGGTACCTCCAGCAGCATGATGTCGTTGTTCCAAGACTTCGCATTGTACTCTGGGTGAGGGATCTGCCGTCGCACTTGAATTACTTGCTGACTTGGTTCCTGATGCTTGATGTTATGGGCTCCCAGGGTAACAGTGATCCTGCTGTGAAACCTGAGAGCGACCCACGTGGGGCATTAGGGGCTGGGACTGGATTCATGTTTGTCTGGCTCATAAATGCAGATCTTGTGGGGACAGGGCAGCCCGGGGCTCTCCGGCCGGGTCTCAGATTCCTTTCCTCCCTTCTGCGCATGGGTGTCCACTCCTCCAGAGCCAACTCCCCCCGCCCAGCTTGATCCCGGCAGGGGTCCATGCCCGGCCCCCAGCCTGGCACCCTGAAGAGCTGCCTTGGGGCTGTAATCCCTCCTTCCCGCATGCTGGGCCATGGGCCAAACCAATTGATTTACCCAGCACTTGGGCTGGGCCGTGGGTTGCAAAGGCCCCTAGAGACTCAGTGACACCCCCTGAGCAGATTAGACCCCTGGGCTCTGCTCCACCAGCCTGGCCACCCCCTGTCCCTTCATTGCCCAATCACGTCAGTAACAGAACTTCCTGTTCCTTCATCCCCCACCACTCCCGGCCACCCCCACATCCCAGCCCAGAGGCACTTACCATCCCTGGCAGTGAGCGGCCGTCAGCACAAAGTTCTCCGACACTAGGAACCCGCCGCAGGGGTAATAACCCCTTCCTTGTTTTATTTTTAGATAGGCCATGTAGGGTCTGGAGTGGGGCTTGGCCTCCTTGCCCCCGATGATCTCACCTGGGGGGAGACCAGGTCCGTAGAAAGGGCCCCATCCTCCCCCTGGATGTGGGGCTACCGGAGCCTCATCCCGCCCTTGTCATGATCCTCCTGGGCATCCCAGTGCCTGGATCCCAGCCCTCTGCTCTGATCTGCCCCACACTGGGCCCCCCCGTGGGGCTGGAGGGGAAATCTAGAATTCTGAAGTGTGGCACAGTGGAGAATTGGTGCCCAATGCACCCAGAGCGGGGCAGTAATCTCCCTGCCTTTCTGTGGCCAAAGTCCCCCCAGGCTGGTCCAGCCTATCCCCAACAGGGCACGGACGGGGCTTCTGTGACTGCCACATCTCCACCCATCTGCAGGGACCAGGCTGGGCTACTCCTCACCCGACTCCGAAGTACCGGTGCCGGGGGAAGTGGCTTTGACTGAATGAATCCTACCCCAGAGAGCCCTTTCTTTTCTCAAATATGTCTGCATTTTTTCCCTCTGCCCCTGCTTCTTTCCCGCCTGTGCTAGGAAATGTCTAAGGGACAATTTTCAGGCTTTGGGGGCTGAAAAACAATAGTTTTGGGGTTGAAAATACAAAGCGGGAATGTGCCTCGGGAAAACGACAAACCGCCTGGGGTCTGCTCGGGAGAAGGTTCCTGGCGGGCAGACGGGAGTGTTGGAAAATCTCCCCTTTAAGGAAGTGCAGCGATTGGCTTTATTGTGGGACCTAGACTGAGGTCAGGGAGCTCTTACTGTGCTAGTCACCTCCCAACACCTTCCCCGAGCAGTGTCCGGTTCAGAGGCCAAACCATTTTCGCTCCTAAAAAGGGAAATCTGAGGCCCCGGGAGCGTGCTCCTAAGGGGTTTAGTATCAGAGGGGTCGCCGTGTTAGTCGGAATCTGCAAAAGCGGCGAGGAGTCCTGTGGCACCTTATAGACTAACCGAAGTGTGGGAGCATCAGCTTTCGTGGGCAAAGACCCACTTCATGCATTTGACAAAGTGGGTCTTTGCCCACGAAAGCTGATGCTCCTACACTTCGGTTAGTCTATAAGGTGCCACCGGACTCCTCGCCGCTTTCTAAGGGGTTTAGGTACCTGATTTCCGTCAGCCACCCATGGAGATAAGATCTGCATAGACAAGTTTAATTTCCCGCCAGAGATGCTGGGCTCAGCTGGAAAAGGATCCCAAGTTTCTTAGGTCTGAGCCCGTCACCTTAGCTCCCTGCTCTTGCCCCTCTCCACCATCTGCTCCTTGAGTCTCCCCAGCCGCCTTGCCAGGGCCTGTTGTGTCTCCAAGTAGGACACACAGCTTGACAGTGGGTCCCACAGAAGCCCAGTGGGGGCTGATCCACCCACCCCTATAGGCCGAGAGCCCCAGAGGTACTCAGGGGAAGCTGCAGGGGTCCCAATAGCCCCTCAGTCCCAGGTGGGTCAGGGGAAGACCCTCACTCACCTCACAGCCCACTACCCTGCATGAGCCCCTGTCTGCACACCCCCAACTCCCTTCCCCCACTCACCAGCCCAGCCCCCAAGGGGCAGGAGGAAGGCCCAAGGGAGCAGTCCCACCACCAAGAGCTGCATCATCAAAGCCATCCTGGGCCAGGCACGGAGCCTCTTCCTTCAGCCTGAGGCTTATATGGACCAGGCAGGGGCAGAGTGGGGGTAGAGCCAGCCAATCACAGAGCCCCACGTACACTCCTGCCAGGGAACATCCACTGGAGATGGGCCTCGGGCCAAGGTGCCCATTAAGCAATTCTCAGGTTGTGGCCGCGCCCACCTAGCGGGAGGTTTCCTCTCTGCTCCGGTCCCTGGTTTGGCACCATGGCCAATGGCATCTCTGCCCATCCATCTTCCTGGGGATGTGGCTAACACGGCTGCCCACTGCCTGGCCTTGGTTGAGGATGTGGCTAACGATGCCCCTCCCCCAATCACCAGTGTCAGAAACACTCCAGCGCCGTTCTGCACAGAGATCCCCCAACCCCGAGATTTCAGGGGGGCCAGGAGGGACAATTCCTGTCCCTCTGCTCACTCCAAAAGCCAGACCCACTTGCTGGCAGTAGAAGACAAGGGGCCTTTTCCCTCTAGGGCAGAGGGAGCAAAGTTCAGCCCACGGGCCGTATCGACCCTTAGCCCCTCCTCATCTGGCCCCTTTCCTTGTAGCTTATGTTCCCCCAGCACAGGGGCCGTGCACTTCTTGGCTCCTCACCCTGATCCTCTGGGTGGTACGGTGGCAGGTCTGAATGAGCGGTGTGGCTCTAACACAGCCAGCCTAGGACGCCGGGTGGCACATATATGAGGGGGCTGGTATCACCCCATAGATCCCCTTCTCCCTACCACACACCATCAACCTTTCTACCCCCACATAGGTAACCTCCCTCTTAGAGCCCCTCTCCAAATTGTGCCCCAATGACACCGCCTACCCCATGGCGGTATCATCCCCATTCATGCCGCCATCCGCTGTCAGTTCCCAGATGCGACCCTCAGGCCAAATCACTTGCCCACCCCTGCCCTAGGGCATCTCTGTGCCGCTGGCCCCACTCCAAGTACCTCTTTCTGCCCTTCTCCATCCTGTTTACATGGGCTGTGCACAGGATGGATCAGTATCCGTGCTGGCTGAGAAACCACACCCTGTCCCCTGAGTGAGATCAAGACGGTGGCTGTGATCGCCCTGATACCAGCCTCCCACCTCAGACTTTGTGTACGTGACACTCAAAGCATCTCCCTTTCCCCAGCCCAGATATCTAGTGACAGACCCTTGTGCTACCCTATTCAGTTTACCAACCCTCAACAGGGCTCAGCCCCATCCCCTGTCAATTTGGTCGGTGGCTGGTGGGGGAGGTATTGTCTCCTGACCGGGGATGAACCACACAGAGCCAGGAGCAATCTTCTGTGTGGAAGGTCTCAGGCAATCCCCCTGCTGCCTCTGGATCAGGCCAGACCAGCAGTGTCCAAGTGGCGGGTGGATCCAGGACTGGAGGCGTGGGGAGATGGCTCCTGAACACAAATGGGGGGCTCTAGATGAATCTAAAATGGACACACAATGCTTTGCATTGATCTCAAAGCCATCTGTGCGTGGCCAGAGGGACCTGGATCGATCATGAATGGAAAAACCTCAACTGGAATGAATTGAGTAAGAAGTGAGATGGATCTGGGTGCATGTTCATGCATCTACTTTGTCCTTGGAAAGGCCACAGAGAACGTAGAATTAGATGGTGACACCCTGGTCTCTTTATATCTGCATGGATCAATCCCATCCCTCATCCATCGGAGAGCCCAATTCCAAGACAGAGGTCCAGGATGGAAATCGGAAAGGCTGAGATCGGATCTACCAATAGGTAGTTACTTAGGGATAGCAACAGAGTTGGTAACACTTGTCAAAGCTCTTCCCTTCTCCGGCACTCCGAGTGCACAAGGCAGAGGCTCACAAGTGACCTTAAATACCTTCCTATAATGGCTCCTGGGGGGAGGGATAGCTCAGGGGTTTGAGCATTGGCCTGCTAAACCCAGGATTATGAGTTCACTTCTTGTGGAGGGGATTTGGGGCAAAAATATGTTAGGGATGGTACTTGGTCCTGCTGTGAAGGCAGGGGACTAGACTCAACTCCATGACCTTTCAAAGTCCGTTCTAGGAGATAGGCAATCTTTATTAATTAACAATATCCCCAAGGTCACAGAGTGCTTGGCCTTGGACTATAGCTCCCCCTCTCAAGTGTAAAAATAACCTCCTTTTCTTACACCCAGGAAGAAGCATGAGGACTTCTTCCAGAGGGTACCGCATGCTCTTTTACCACAACAGAGTTTTAAAAAAGAAACAGAAAAAAACCCTGCCATCCCTGATAACTGACCTCCCAGTCCACAGACCTTCTGTGACCTTCCAGGACACAAGAATCAAGTCATCACTTCAAAAAAGATGAGTTTATGAGGAAAACAACAAGATCTACTTGGTAAAGCAGACGTGTTTGCTCGGTGGTACAGACTGTCACAGAGCCTGGCGGAGTCCTCAGGCCCTGCCCCACATCTGCAGCCAGATGTAGTTACGAAGGGGCGGAAACAGAGTTTGTAACATTTGTCAAAGCTGTGATGGGACTCTCGGCCGGCAAATAGAACAAAACGTTTATTCGTTGAGAGGGACACAGTCTATCACAGTGTCATTGTCACAGGACCCAGGAGTGTTCACTACACCCCATCTTGGGGATAAGGGCACCCAGAAGCCTGGCTCTGGACTTCTGCCCAACTTCTGCCCTACCTAGTCCCCTAGGTAGCCCCGCCACCTGTTTTCTCCTCCTTCCCAGCCGCAGGGATTATCTGACTACCACTGGTTGCATCTTTCCCCTTGAATCAGGTGAGAGGCCAGCCTGGGCAATTCCCTACGTGCCTGCCCTCAGGAATTCTCCCCCAAAGAACTCATCCCCCACTGGGCACTGTGCCCACACACACACACACAAACGCTCTCACACAGAGTCACTACAGAGCAGCATCGGACAGTAGCAATCACACACAGCACAGGAAAGCAACCAGTGAATGCACAAGAGAGCGAATACAGTGGTTGCCAGAGCGAGCACAGGCCTCACTAGGTCACACAGAGCAACTGAGAAAAACAAATTAAAACACAGAGAACAATAGACTCTCTGGGTGCAGCTTAGATACAGGGAATGGGAGCTGGGGGTAGCTCATGGATTTCACGCAGAAAAGTTTAACCAAAAAACAAGATAAAGAAAATAACTTGGTTGTGTCTAACTAGACATTCCCTAGCTACTCTGTGCTTGAAGGTCCACTCCATTTCCATGTCCAGCGTTCCTTGTCGGCCTGGTAGTCCTGCCTGGTTCAATTCATCCTGCTTCCCCCAGTGCCTGGCTTAAAACTCACAAAGTAGAACAGCAGGCAGGTGTATCTTCCAATTTAAATGTCACTGGCTCATCTGGCTCCCTGCCAACACGCCTTTACACCTGAGTTTAACCCTTTAATCACTGATAGATCTGTTGGCAATGCTTCTCCTAGCATAGGCCATTAGGTTTCTTGGCTATAAGGGTGCCCTACTGGCTCATCTCCAGCTTCTCATTCACTGTCATCCCCAGGTCCTTTTCTGCCAAACTACTGCTTAGCCAGTCAGTCCCCACCCTGTAGCAATGTTTGGGATTCTTCCCTCCTAAGAATCCATCCTGTCCCTCATCCATCAGACAGTTCAATTCCTAGAGAGGGATCTGGAGATGGAGAAGCATGCCCCAAATACATGCATACCTACATCTCACTGCAGAAGTCCATTTCAGAGTGACTTCACTTCCGTTGGACATCAGTGCAGACACGGGGATACCCAATGACCTCTGTTTAATGTTGTTCTAGAGTCAATTCACTCAATCCTGTTCCTTCTTAAATCTAACCATATGCACACAGCTTCATGTGGATTTTAAAGTGATTCATCCCTACCCGTAGAGATCGATTCTAGTTTCCTCCAGATCCCAATGCATCCCTTCTAGACCCATCCCCAGCCACAAAGATCTGTTTCCTTAGGATCCCCACACATCTGCAGCCCCCTTCAGTCTGCTGCCCTAGGCCCAGGGGGTGAGCAGCTGGGCCAAGGGTCCATCACTTGGCTTTGGGTTTGCTCCCAGGGCATCCTGGGGGCTTTAGGATGGATTTTAAAATGGCACTTCAGAGACTAATGACTATATGGCTGCATCTAGACTGGCATGATTTTGCGCAAAAGCTGCCGCCTGTCTACACTGGTCGCGAGAATTTGAGCAAGAACACTGATTTTGTAACGTACAAAATCAGTGCCTTTTGCGCAAATAGTCCGATGCTCCCGCTCAGAGATAAGCCCTCTTGCACAAATATTCTTGCAGAAACGGGCCAGTGTAGACAGCCACGTTAAGTTCTTGCGCACGAAAGCCCGATGGCCATCGGAGCTTTCTTGCTCAAGAGAGCGTCTATACTGGGCATGGATGCTTTTGCGCAAAAGCAAATCTTTTGCACAAAGGCACATGCCAGTCTAGATGCTCTCTTGCACAAATACTTTTAACGGAAAAACTTTTCCGTTAAAAGTATTTGCACAAAATCATGCCAGTCTAGACGCAGCCTATATGTTTTATAATGTATATATCATTATGATCTTTTGTGGGTAAATTCCACTTCATCATATGGGTTGGAGTGGAAATAAGAGAATCCAAGGTCTATAGTACAGCAAACTCAGTTCGCTGCCAATTGTAGGACCCCTATTAATGAATATAATTCAGCGTGCTGGATGGGTGCATTCCATAGCTTTTGATGTGAAAATGCGAATGTGAAAGGCAGGGGAATTTGGCTTTGTAGTGCGTTAACATGGTAATATTTCTATTCAAGCCCAGACTCACAATGTCCAATCTGTTGATGAATTCCAGTTCTGTGATTGGCTAGTGAATTCCTTTTGTAGAAGGATGGCTACTTTAAAACTCATGATCAAGTGGCAAGTCAGGTTAAAATGTTCCCCTACAGGTTCATGTGTGTTACCGTTTCTGATGTCTGATTCGTGGGACAGGACCCAGGACTTCTGGCCCCCAGTCTCCTATGACCATGATCTTTCCGCTGGTTGGCTCGGACATGACTAG